CAGCGAGCTTTGCCGAAGCATTGCCGCCTGCCGGGGCCGGCTCCGGTCTTGGGGGAAGGGAGCAGCGGATCTGCGTCCAGCCTTACGCCGGGTTCCCACTTTGTCTTTCCAGGTGCTCTTGAAGTCGGATGCGCCAACTGGTGACGTCTTGCTGGATGAGACCCTTCGACACATCAAGGCCACGGAGCCTGCAGAAACGGTGCAGACCTGGATAGAGCTGCTCACTGGTAGGGCCGGTTAAAGACCTCGTCTCCCCAGCTCCCTTGGGGCTTGACCTTGCTGCCTGTCCCCTTCCCGGTTTGGCCATCCCCTTGCTTCACTGGAGATGGGCAGAATGGACTGACAGCAGAACAGGGGAAGGCCGAATGTGGGGGCAGAGCTTTTGTTGGGTATTCTGTGGAGGACTTGGACCTTGCTCCCCATTGCTTCTTTTTTTTTCATGCTGAGTCTTCACCAAGTCTGAGGTCCAAGGTCCTGCGTAGAAGGGGCTTTCTAAAGGGATCTGCCTCAGGCTGCTGCGCCCTGTGGCTACTGGGAGCTTTGCCAGCTTGGACTGATGGGACAAGTGGGTCAGAGTCAGGCCAAGGGGAGGAAGAGGGTTCCTGCAGCCGGGACTGGTGTCTGTGCAAGCACAGATGGTCCTGGGCTGGAGGCAGCCTGGGTGCTGGGGTTGGGTGGCAAAGCCGTCGCTGCCCCAGCATTGAACGGGGTCTCTTCTCCTGCAGGGGAGACCTGGAACCCCTTCAAGCTGCAGTACCAGCTGAGGAACGTGCGGGAGCGCATCGCCAAGGCGCTGGTGGAGAAGGGCATCCTCACCACAGAGAAGCAAAACTTCCTGCTCTTCGACATGACCACCCACCCCGTCAGCAACGCCACCGAGAAGCAGCGCTTGGTGAAGAAGCTCCAGGAGAGCATGCTGGAGCGGTGGGTGAATGACCCCCACCGCATGGACCGCAGGACTCTGGCTCTCCTGGTGCTGGCCCACTCCTCAGACGTGCTGGAGAACGTTTTCACCAGCCTGACAGATGACAAGTACGATATGGCAATGAACAGGACCAAGGACCTCCTCGATATGGACCCTGAGGTGGAAGCTGCCAAAGCCAAGGGTGCAGAGATGATCTGGGCTGTCCTGGCAGCCTTCAATAAGTCCTAAAAAGCCCCTGAAACCCCCCCCCCCCCAAATCAGGTGGGGGAGCCTCACCCCCTCAATGCGAGGCCAGGGGTATTTGGGCACAGTGTTCCTGCAGCAGTGGGTGGGACCAGGGGATTTGCTCTGCCCATGGGCGGGGGTGGCAGGATGAGCCCCCCTGCGCAGGCAGGTCGCACGCTCCTCCAAAGGCCAGTGCCTTCGGGGAGAGGTGGTGGTGGCTCCTTTGCTCCCTTTCCCGTGCTCCTTGCCTGTGGACTTCCTTCCCAGGCCCGTGCAGAGCTGGGAGGTGGCAGAGCCCAGCACCGCCCCTGTGTGCAGGAACAGACCTGCTCCTGTGGAGAAAG